AAAGGTTACAGACAAGAGGATCCCATTTGACAAGTGGAGCTCATTCAGGTGACCTTTGATCTCATCCAGCCATTTCTTCAAAGGAACTGGTGTTGGCTTCAGCACCATAGCTGGGTATCTTGTTCCAGTTCCATACTCCCACAACCCTTTGTGTGAAGATGCTCCTTCTGTTATCAGTTTTAAAAGGAGTTCAGCACAGTTTCTGCTCGAGTTCTCTGCTTGGCGTTTCATTCCGTGCTGCTGAAGTCTGCTGGGTTGACGCTCGTGTGGATTTTGAAAACTCGATATCAAGGTGCCCTTGTGCAGGGTTCAGTTCCTCCAGCCTGGTGAATGCCTCGGTTCGCTCTGTCCAGCCTGTTGGCCTGGCAGTCGGATGCCACGCTCGCTGGGGTAAGACGAGCTGCCCTGTTTTTCCAGTGAAGGCCAGTACAATGCCTGCTTTGTGCTAGCACAGTAAAGGCTCAGAAACGATTTGTCTGTGGTGTAAGACGAGATGTTTCGTGACGAGGAGGAATGAGGAGGTGTGTGGAAGAAGAGGTGCAGTTGACTGCAGTGGGACTTTAACAGAGGTGTAGGGAGGGGGTCTCAAGAAGGTTCTGTTCCTGCTGAAGCCCCCTTGTGCGACTCCGCCAGCTCGTGTGCAGAGCCCCACTGCCAGAGCTGTGACCCAGAAGCACATCTCCTGGTCGTCTGGTATTAGTACCATTTTTGTTCTTGAAATATGCTTGAAACTTTCTGCGCTCTTTGCTAGCCATGCGCCCTTCACATCTTTCTCTTGTGCGTTATGTTTCACATTTTTCCCAGGCAATTTCAAGGCCTTGTGGGGATTTGTCTGATAATGGCGACAGCGAACGGGCTGGAGGCTGAGACCGTGCAGGAGCTGGGGGGCCGGGTTAAGAGGTAGGGCACGGCTGGGAATTGAGGGAACTATTGTCCGGCAGGAGCGAATGAATGCAAATCGTATGCGGCGCACTCACGAGGCAGGGCCCGGGGCACAATGGTGTCGGCTGGGCCCAGGGTGCAGCTCATTGTCCTTCCTGGGCAAACAGGAGCAGCTGTTGACAACGAGCGTGGACTGAAACGGCACTCCCCGCCGTCCTGCCTGGAACGACACTGTTCCGGGCAACAGCAGGGATCGGCAATGGCTGGCCGAGTCTGGAAGCGGCGCAGTAACGTTAAAAGGCTTTCTTCTCTGCTGATGGTCCGTTTTGTCCATCATTTTAGGGCAGTTATCTGATGCCCAAGATATCCACCCTGTGTTAGAATTCACGACCAAGCAGCAAAAAAAAAACCTAGGACCTCTGCTGTCTGTACACTATTGTGAGAGTCTATTGTGTGAGTGTCTCTGAGAGTCCTAACGTCTTGCTCATATTGGGCCCCTTGCTCAACTTCGAAGAACCAAGCCTTGTTCGCTTACGAATTCCTGCTGTAGCCCCGCTGGAAGACGCAGGGACTTCTCCTGGTTTGTAATGGGAGTCGGTGGAGCGTGACCCACAGCTGCGCGCCAGATGCCGACTCTCTTCATCTGGCATAACAAGGAGCCCCCCGACCGCACGTCCCGGAGCTGGGGCTTCTAGAGCCCGGATCCGCAGGCGGACAGATGCACAGCGCTTGAGGTGAAACAGCTGCGCTATCGGCACCACCCCCCCCACCGTCTACATGTGACTGGTAAAATGTGTGTAAATTACATCGTCAGCATTGACACCGGCTGTCACCGTGTCGTCTTCTACTTAGGCTGCGCGGTGCTGTTGATGAAAAGGTACCCGAACGCCGTGAAGATGAATTACTGTTGGAAGCAGAAAGAGGGAGAACCGGCCAGAAGCTGTTAGTGAAATTAAAAGTTTCTCGCTGTGGGAAGACAACCGAGCGCCTCCCTTTTGTTCCTTTCTCGTTGTTTGACCTTGACAACACGGTAGCTCGAGTGAGTGGTAAACCCAGTCTGCGTGATGAGAGCGCATGATCTTAGGGCTGGGCGGCTGAACTCTATATTACAGTCGGTGAAGTAAAATGTACTCCCTCCTTCGCGTTTTCGAATCCTTGCCGTTAATAGCGAAAAACCAAGTGGCTATTTTCTCAAACATCGGCGTGGGTACTTGCAGCCGTGCACTTCGTGGTTTGTCACTGCCATGCATAAAAAGTGAGGTATTAAATCGATTATACTTCATTAATTGAAGTCTCGTTTTGAATTCTGAAGCAGGCTACTGCTTTGTAGGCGACACTGCCCTCTTGCGGCTGTTTGGATAACTTCAGTAAACCTGTTGGGGGGGAGTTAGACATTGTCCCGCTCGGATGCGGGCAATTCAGAGCTTTCGTTGATTCGACACAAAACGCGTCGGTTTTCTTGTACTGAGGAACGAAACATTTTAATTGGAGTTCGAGACCTCGCCCTTTCCCGAGTTCCTGCCAGCGCTGAGGGGCGTGATGGGGAGGGAAGAGGGAAGCAGTTGCCACGCTGGTTGTGCACTAGCGCCCCCCTGCGGGATCTTGCAGAAGTGCAACATGACGCCTGAAGGCTACTGCTGAAGTAGCGTTTCTCCGCGCAAGCTCATGCAGACGCGCTCCATAGCAGTGGAGTATGTTTACAAGACATCGTCCGATGTTTAAGGAATAAATTAAAAGTATGTACATGTGCACTATAAAGGCTATTTGTTAATTATAGCATTATATTAATTATAGAGGTCCCGCGTGATCAGGAGAGCACTGTTCTGCCTTGTGTGGTCCTTTTCTGCCTACCCTGTCTTCTGGGTGGTTTAATTTGCCCCATATTGTCTGAGAAAATATGCCGATATTGCAGCAGAACACACACAGTACAGGGATGCCTGTCTCAAGGTAACCTTTTCCTGTAATAACGCTATTTTCCTGTAATAGCGAGAACAATAACTCCACTTTGTGTTCGCCATCATGCATAATGTTGGGGTGTAGTTTAGAATGGGGGGGTGCTAACAGTCCTCTCGGTACAGGAGGGGTTAAATGTAAGAGCTCAGGACCAAGTCAGACCTCTGTATCCAAGATGGGTGCCAACTTACAGAATTCTTTTAAAATAGAAGAAAAGCATCTTTCGATTCATTTTCCTTTCTTTAAAGCTGCTTAAATAGGCAGGGCTAGCAGCAACCAGTAACCCTGAAAGTGAGTAGAGGAAAAGGAAAAAAAAAGTTCTGTTCCATCTGTCAGAGGCAGGAAAAGAGCAGGAAGCACTTGACGAAATTACGGGACCTAATTAACTTTGAGTAAATGACTCAGCCGCTAGCGAGCCGAGGGCCTCAGTGGGAAATGAAAAAAGCATGTCTGTGCGTTATAGCCTGTCTATAAGAAAAAACGTGTTGAAACGCTGTTGCACCCGAAGCTTTTTAATATATTCAAGCACTTCTCAGAATGTGTTCCATTGCTTCTGTATTAGCTGTCCAGTGCAACCGAGCTCTTTAATACCTTGTGTGGTGCAGACTAATTCCTAATGGTGTCTTAGCTCACAGCACTGCCAGATTGCATTTGCTGCTGACCCAGCTGGATGTGCGCCCAGGCCTGCGGAGGAGAAAGCTTTCCATCGCAGCTACATCATCCTTTAACTTTTTGACAAGGCACCCAATACTGTCATGCTCCATTAGGATGGATACACACGGCGTTTGTTTTTCAGCCCTGCAGTTCCAACACCGTCTTGCCAATTTGCAGTGAAAAGCGGAGAAGGTCCTGTTTTTAAGATTTTTTTTAACTTTGCTCTCCTGAAAGGTACTGAGCTGTCTTGCCTGTTCATCTGACAGGCGATACATTCTCCCACTAGTAATAATAATGGATTCAGATTTAAAGAGCAATATTTTTTTTTTACAATGCACAAATTACTACAAAAGGGTCACTGTCCCCCTACAACTCTGTGTCAGTCCTGTCCACATTGCCCTGTGAGGTGGGATGAGAGACTGTTTTTTGTGAGGGTCTCTTTTTTTTTTCCTCTGTCTAACCTCTCACTTGGGCTCCACATGCCTGTAGCCCGTTCCTACGGTTCGAGGGGGTGTGTGTCTTACTTCCTGATTGCTGGAACAGGCTAAGTGACTTTGTCAGAATCCGGTAATGATCTGAGCACGGTCTGTACCTGAAGTCCCCACTTAACTCAGTGAATCAATTTCTCACTTAACTTGTTCACCTGTCAGGTGAAGGCCAGGCGTCTCACACACACCCCCAGGTGAGGGGTGCACTTCAGTGGGGAGATGAAGTGGGTCCCTACTATGTGTGAATCCATTTCAGATCAATTTGGATAAAAGATGTTATATAAATCAATTACTATAATGTAGGGTTGGTTCACAAAGCCCATGATATTATTTATGTATTACTGATTGGATTTTATCAGTATTTAATAGACTCTTATCGTTTAGCAGAGCCCAATTTAAAAGGAAATAGGAAGATGATTAATTTTGAACATAGGCTGTTATAGGTATGTGATGCAAAAAAATCATTACTTCTGTACTTCTGATTTGGACTGTAAGGAGCTGCTACTCTTTCATTATATGTTAAGTTTCCAAATGTTTGAATAGCCCTAATGGATTTGAGTAAAATCCAAATTGTATCACAACTTTCTCACGCCAATGTGAGCATGCAGATGCTACAGGTAACATCGTCTGCATAATTTCTAGTGTTAGTTTTAAAAACTGCCTTAATATCAGAACTGGACAGTGAGTTAAAGTACAAGATTATTTTTATCCAGCTACATGATATGTACATTATAGGGAAGTGGAAAAGGATGTACATATAAATACAAAAAAGAGCTACAGATGACTTTGGAATCATTACAGATCACCCTTTTGGTTTTACTTTTTAGCAGCAGTCCTGTATTTGCAACGTCTCTGTTTAGCTATTCATATTACTTGAGTGAAGGTTAAACATCTGTGTCCTTGAGACTGTTCAATGTGTTGTCTTTATTCTCATTAGAATGCCATTCTCTGTAATTCTGAAGGTGGCTAGGTTGACTTTGTTAGTGTTCTCAGGATTTTGAATACTCATACAAGGTCTTCTGGGCAATTTGCAATACCTTTTTAATCTTGAACAGAGAAGACTGCAAGGTGACTTGAAACTTACTAACAAAATGTCAATGTATATCTTCCTAAAGAAGACAGATGGAATTGCTTCAAATATGATTTTATGAAATAATTATGTAAAATAGTTACATTTAATTGAAAGTTTTTTTTGCTTTTATAAAATAAAGTTTGTGTGTTAGCACATTCGGTGTATCAGAATGCTCTTAAGCAGATTTGTAAAATACTTTTCAATTAGATGAGTGATGCAAGTTACTAGACCGCCCTCTGGTGACCACTTGGAAAATAACGCTTGCTTTTTAAATCCAGAGAATGGGAAGCACACACTTCAGACCTGAGCAGAGAAACGGACCCACATTCAATGGGGCATGACTGTAATAAATATACTCTACAGCAGATAAATAGATCAGTATTATAAATACATGATTAGCACTTGTTAAAAAAATGTAATTTCTCACAATTCTAGCTCATGCAAAAAACAGGAGACCTTGCAAAATCTCACACTTAGTGACTATAACTTACAGGTAAAGGAAGTGCGAGCCTACCCTATGTTAAAAAAGTAAGGCCTTCTCAATGTAAAGACATCCAGCGTATATAAGCTTCCAGCTACTGCACTCAGCAGGTGAAGTACTCCTGATTCTGGAGGGGGCCTGAGGAGTATTTGATTTTGCCAGCTATTTCAACCTAGAAAACAAGGTGAATCTGGTCCAGTCCAGTCCAGTATCCAGGTCTGAGTCCGGTGCTCACATGGAACACGAAGCAGTTAGACAGGCTGTATGCCTGCTTGTGCAGTGTGTCGCTCCAGTCAGGGCTGCCATGTGACCTGCTGCAGGAACCGGAGTGTCCCGGTCTTCAGTGATACTTCCTCCAGCGCTGCTGCTCTGAAATGACATGATGACAGGGAGGCCCAAAAAAACAACAGCAGCCAGGCGGGTTCAGCCAACAAAGCAATTAATCCCAACCATGCCTCGCCTTCATCTCAGTTAGGGTTTGGGCTGAACTATTCAAATACTTCAATAAAAAAGAAGGTGGACCCCCTGGGTAATAAGTTTTCAGCAGTAGAAAATAATGAACGTGTCAGTGTGTGATGTACATGAGGCAGCTGATGCCATTCACAGAAGGGAGCTCTACTCACTGAGGTGTGGGTAATTCCAGCTGTAGCTAAGGACACAGTAGGCAGCCAGCAGCATGGTCAAGCCCCCAGCTCCACCTTTCCTCACATCAATATACTTGCTGTAGTACCTCTGCCAGCCTGCAAGAACAACAATACACAATAATTATAATAATAATAATTGCTTACACTTATATAGCGCTTTTCTGGACACTCCACTCAAAGCTCTTTACAGGTAATGGAGGTCCCCTCCACCACCACCAATGTGCAGCATCCACCTGGATGATGCAACGGCAGCCATTGTGCGCCAGAACGGTCACCACACATCAGCTATCAGTGGGGAGGAGAGCGGAGTGATGAAGCCAGTTCAGAGATGGGGATTATTAGGAGGCCATGATTGGTAAAGGCCAATGGGAAATTTGGCCAGGACGCCGGGGTTACACCCCTACTCTTTTCGAGAATCACCCTGGCATTTTTAATGACCACAGAGAGTCAGGACCTCGGTTTTACGTCTCATCTGAAGGACGGATGAGATGCCAAGCACTGAATTGGTGACACTGGAAATATGCGCGCACAGAAGATCGCAATCTCAGCAGGTGATCCTCCCAAATCTCACTGTTGGAGCCTTCTTTATTCCCAGGATCTTCCTGGAAAATGCCATTTTCCCCTGGGATCTTCCTCATTTAAACTTTTAAACGATTATGATGCAATCTTGCAAAAGAATCCAAGATGCAGAGCCAGCCCTGGTCCTGATTCCCCTGTCGTCTGGTTTTCAGGTCTTGATCTTGGAGGACAACCGACCTCCAATTGTCAAGACATTGAATTTAGGAGTTTCACATCTCTTTACTATGGATTGGGTTTGTCATCAGCGTTTTCACGGTACCATTTTCAGTGTTAACAGATCTCCCTTTTTGAAAGAAAGCATTGTAAGATAATTGATCACTTATTAAGAGCTACTCAGGCAGAAATAAAGGAGCAGCAACATAATAAGCACATCCAGGTGGATGCTGCACACTGGTGGTGGTGGAGGGGATCCCCATTACCTGTAAAGCACTTTGTGTGGAGTGTCCAGAAACGCGCTATATAAGTGTAAGCAATTATTATTATCAAAACTAAAATAACAGGTTTGTGCGCACTAAATCTCTTGAAAAAAACTTGCCTGCAGCTGAGCATTTTGTTTTTTTAATCAAGGACAGGGTACAGAATGAGGTTAAAAAGCTCTGCTGAAGCAAGTGTTTCATTTAAAGGGATCAATTAGTTTTGGTAATTAGGAGTCAGCTTGAACAAAAAAAACAGGCTAACACAGGGCTCTTTCAGGACCAGGACTGAGACGCTATGCTCTAATTAAAGATTTCACTAAAACCTCAAAAGGAGCTGCAGGAACTCTACAAGTAGAAAAGGCTTGAGTGACCCCAGTGTTTTTCACATCCCTTTTTTCTTATCAGCCCACTGCTCCCTGCGGACATCTGCTCTGTTCTTTCACTTGAGCCTGCTGGATTGGTGCACTCTCTCCGATCACTCCTGCTCCTGGAGAGCCACAGCCATGCAGGTCTCGACAGGGAGCCTACACTCTTCAACGGATAAAGACCTGGAACCTGCTGGAGTTGAGACCAGGTAAGACAACAATGGATTCTGCTGACCTCGGCGCAGAGCTGCCATCCCCACCCAGGGTGTCATTGTGCCCATGGCCAGCCAGGCAGGCAGCTCCCCCAGCTGCACCTCCATCAGTCTGCGCTGCGCCAGAGCTACGGGAAACTGTGTCGGAGGACCTGCACACACACACACACACAAACACTGCGCGTCAGCAGCCTGCCCTGCGCTGCACACAGCAGGCACTGATCCGAGCACTGTAGCTCCACCACCACCTCAGTGACCCAGACTGGGGACCACATGCACAGCCAAAACAATGCCACTGGGACAATGATGTGGCCATTGCTGACCTAGCCTGGAACAGAACCACTATCCCACTCAGCAGAGCAGCAAGACCTGCTGACACAAACTGGGGGTTTAATAACGGTCCTAGTTCAAGCAAACATTTACATTTCCCATTTCCAATTAGCCTCACTAAGCTTGGGTTTTGATCCTTCAGGCTTGTAATACCCTTTGGCTTCAGATCACAGGCACAGGACTTTGCATTATCCAGGTTCTGTCAAATTGTCTTCTAGTTACATAGTGTTCTTCTCTACTCCTTTTTACAATGGGACTGTTTGCATCAGACATTCTAATTCTATCAGGCTGCATCTGCAAAGCAAACAGAGGTGAAGCAATCTCTTCAACTTATTTTATACTCTGGTTTAAAGCTTTTCAGTAAGGTTAAAACTTAACATGGAGAATTCATCTCAAAGTGCAGGATGGCTGTGCTGACACATGTTTTACAGAGATTCTTTTTGGTATGGTTTTAAGTGTTCCTGTGAGTCCATACGCTTCCAATCCAATACTGATGGATGGATAATATCCAGATAATGAGTACTCATGCAGAGATTACTCATCTCAGCCATGTCGATAGTTCTGTACCTGTTCCCACTGGCCCTGGGCGCTGGCCTGTTCTGTTGTTCGCGAGCCCAGGGAGGGGCTGCAGAGGGAGCATGGAGAACCCGATGGCCCGATACCCCGGGCCCAGCTCTGCGAACCACTCCAGGCCTCTCGGTGCGGCGGGCCGGTCAGGAGCCGCGACGGTGACGGGCTTCATGGCCACGGCCCCTGGAGCACGAGGCGCAGGCCGAGGGGCTCCCCGGAGATCTCCACTCTCGCGTGCAGCTCTGCCAGCGGTGCAGCCTGCAGGCTTTGGCCCATCTAGCCATGATGCGCTCGCTACTCTACTGCCACGATTCCCGTCTGTGAGAGCTCTTTCACTGGCTCCATTGATGCATGCAGGTTTATAGGTCTTGACGCTGAAATTCTCCATTATCTTGGTCAAGTGGTGGTTTTCTTCCACACCGCCCGATGCGCCACTATATCCCTTTGTTCTCATATTGCTTTGGTAACATGCAACTGATCCTTTCTCGCTCATCAAGCTGTATTGGATGTGCTCCCAAACATCCGTTTTCCTGTAATTTCTTCCATCACTCGGCGTCGCTTCTGTCCCACTCTTGCTTGCACTGACAGATGCCGTACACTGGCCTTGAGATGTCTCCTGCCGCGCAGGAGTATCGATGGGAGATTTCAAAGACAAGCTGTGGTCCTGCTTTGTCCTGGGGCAGTTGGCTTTGGGAGTACCCTGCCTCTGTGCCTCGGGGACTCCTACACTACACGTGCCAGAATCCTTCTGAATGGAAACTGAACTGCTTCCTGGCTCTGCAGGTCTTGGCTGATGGTGAGAGACAGAAATACTTTTCTTTACTCTGTTTTTTGAAGGGGACAAAACCTGCTTCTTCACAGCCTGGTGCTCAACACTGGATCTCTTCCACTGCAGATCCACTTTGTTTTCACCCACGTCTTGAGATATGTCATTTTTATTTGTAGGGCCTTTTTTTGAAGTCTCTGTATCCATGGTGACCTTCTTCTTCTTTGTCTTGGCTGCTGTAGTCTGTTTCTCCGGAGGTGCACTGGTCTTGAGGAATAATAATGCTTTGTGGCTTTTCGTTCCACTGGTGACAGGAGCCATTTTGCAATGAGGAAGGTGTGATTTTAGCCTCTTGAAAGGCCTGCCACAAAACGGACACTCCTCCATCCCAGGAGAACCTAAACCAGATCTATTGTCTGATGAAGAAAAAAAAAACTTTCAAAACCATTTTTAAAGACATGTCCATGTTTTACTTTTCTGTCTCATTCTTTTACTTCATTGTTTCACAAGCAAGTAAATCCAGGTCAACTGCACATTAAAATAAAGACCACAGAAAGAGGCTGTACTACCTTTACGTAGACTTATTTATCTCTATTTCAATGTTTTACCTGGCAAGTGGAGTGCTGAATTACAATATGACAGATCTGTGTGGTACTTGTGTGGGGGCTCTGTGGCTAAGGATCTGCAGCTGTGGCAGGAAGGTTGCTGGTTCAAATCCTACGGCTGGCACAGGAATCCTACTCCATTGGGCCCCTGAGCAAGGCCCTTAACCAACTGCTCCAGGGGCATCGTATAAATGGCTGACCCTGCACTCTGACCCCAAGCTTCTCTCCCCGTCTGTGTGTCTCATGGAGAGCAAGTTGGGGAATGCGAAAAGACAAATTCCTAAAACATGAAATTGCATATGGCCAATAAAGTGATCTTATCTCTTACATTAATCCAGATCAGGTGAGATCACAGCAAATCACTGAACACAAAGTGAACTGGCAGAACGATTACAAATGGCATTGGCCATACAGTAAACATATAGTACATATCAAAGGAACAAGTGATAGGTTTATTCCATGCTGAAAAAAGAAGACAGAAAACACAACGTTTCGGTGAGCACCTGAAGAAGGCCACACGGCCAAAATGTTGTTTTCTTTCTTCTCTTTTCAGCATGGAATAAACCTATCACTTGTTCCTTTGCAGCCTATGCATGCTGACGCAGCTGCCCACCTGAACTAGTACATATCAAGCCACACTCTGATTGACTGAGAGCTTGGAAAATTCCTCTTGCTTTCTACACAAACAGTAGCAGAGTGCAAAACCCCAGCCTGTGCTGAGTGTGCTTTAGGTTGTTCTATTTGCACATCAGAGACAGACAAATTCCGCTTTTATACAGGTGTATTTGAGGATGTAAAATAATAGCCGGGACAAAGAGAGCTATGGAGAAGCGGTATTAATGGAGTTAAGGGCGTACCAATTGCAGAAACAGAAAAACAAAAGTCTAAACAAGAAGCAGATCCGTTAACAGGTCAGCTGGAACAAAAACTAGCGGAGACAGAGACACCCACACCAGACAAACTTTCATACAGGGGGCGTCAATGTTTGGAATAAGGGGTACACGCATTGTGATAGAACGTTGATTGGTTTGGAAAATTCAAAACCAGCTGTGATGTCAACGTAGCGTAACAAGTTAACGCCAAGTTACTCAAGATTAAAAAAAAACTCACCCGAGCTCATGTCTCCTTAAATCGTCGTCGGGCTTCGTGACCTAGCCAATCAGAAGAGACGCTTAGAAAATATCGCGCATAGGCCGTTGGTGGAGTGGTTGACGTCGCCTGAATTTCCAGCTGTTTGTACTCCGAGAGCATGAAACTGCGGTGAGACTTGATGTTAAATATTTTGTGCGTTACTTATTAACGGAAAAATTACGTTTTATAATTTGATACTTTCTCAGAAATGTTACCAAACAGTACCACGATAATCATTGTAGCTTTCGGTCGCTAAATAAATAATAGTCAATAAATAGCCACGCAATATTTAAACTCTGTTAGGCGCTTAGTATGTTTCATCCTTATACGTACTGTACAAAAGTATCTGACAAAAAAAAAACACAAGTAGCAAGCAAAGGCCCTTAATATAGGTAGCTTACGCAAATGCCTGTGTTTCGGAAAATGAATTATACTGCGCCACAGTATTGAACCAAGAGTAATACCAATTCTGTTTTGAAGCTTAAAGTAAACACATTTATGTCGTTGCTGACGACGTTTTGGGGGGGGGAGCCCTACCGACATTTGCGATCCAGGATATAGGTGGCCTTTTCCTGCCTGAGCGGTTTGCAGTGACCTGCCCGGCTTTATTGCGCAGGCGCAATGTCATGTAAACAGCTGGGGAGCTCTACCTACTGAGGCTGGAGAGGGAGAGCTGGGTGGTGGAACCGGTGCGATTCTCACGATAAGCAGATCATTTACGTTAACGATATGAAGTGTCTAAGCTAAAAGAATGTTTTGACGTAGCTTAATCTTGATTTTATGTTAAAAGAATCGATGAGATAGCGCCGGGTGGGGGAGAATTAGATTGAAGCCGGGGGCGACAGGGGTAGAGACTGTGAGGAATCGTCGTTGTGTTTGTAGGGGGGTAGATAGACCTGAGACGGAGGGATTTTTTTTTCTTAGTATTGATCTTTAAGATTTTTACCATCTAAGAAATGTACGACGTGAGTTTAGAGGACTTGCTGTAGCCCGTAGTTAAGACTTAAACAACTCAGGCTGGCTGGCTTGTAATACGAGGGGGGGTTTCTTCCGTTCAGTCTTCATGCCACTGTCTTTTAACAGAAAATTGCTTCTTGTTTCCCTCTCCAGAAAGAGAAACCAAACAGCCGTGGTTCGTGCATAAGTGGGCCTGTAAAACTAGATTTAACCTCTCGGCCGATGCACTGTGTTACTTAATATACAGATACAGTGCTTGAATACTCGTCGTTCAAGACTTCGGGCATTGCCGCAAGCAGGTTGCAGTTCCGAAGATAGACCGTTGTTGTATTTGCATGTAGTTGGGAGGGCTGAGAATATTTGTGAGTTATGTCCGTTTACCGAATTAAGAAGGCGAAAGAGTCCAACCAAAAATAAAGTCCCCCGACAAGCCCTGGTCTTGAGAGAGAGAGAGGCGACGCGAAGAGGAAGTGTTTTCACAGTAGCTCTTGGTCCCGTGGTGTTTTAGATGTTGTCGGAAAACAGGTGAGTGGAGTTTGTTTTACTGTAGATTTCTGTTTTGGGTCATTACTGGAAGAAATCCCACTTCGAGATGTTACCGGTACTTTGTTCATTTAATGTGCGCGATATAGCTTTTACAACAGAATAGTTTTAAATGAGGTGCTCGGTTTACGTGGAGGCAGGCAGATCGTTGTTCAGTTGTTACAGGAGTTTCACTGAACTACGTGCGCCAGATTATTTTCAGCACTTTCAATTGCTTAGAATGAAACAGGTCGTGGAGTGTAAACTGTGATTCAGCTAAATACTTCGTATGAGAATACTGGATGTTGAGTATAGATGAGTGTATTAATAATATTATAGTTAATCTACGTACATACATGTATTTTATGCATTTACGGTGCTATATGAGCCACTTGTATCTTACAGAATTCTCTGCTTTTGCTTTAATGTAAATTGTTTTAATTGCAGGGTAGTAGGATAGTATTAACGAGGTATATAATTGGTTATTTACGGACTGGTTATGTTGTTACTGCCCAGACTTTACGTTGATGCCTGAGATCTTTACATTCTTAAAATTAACAAGTAGAATGATTGCTTGAGTAGTATATTGAGCTTCCATTGTAATCTTTACTCTTTGATTGGCTTTCTGTGCCTCTAGACAAATGCCTTGGAAAATGGCTTGTTCATTTTTAGAACAGTCCTTCCTATCCATATACTGTAACTACTTGCACAGTTATCTCTGACCCCAGTTATAATTGTATCATACTGAACCTTCCAAGAGCAAGTGCTGTTTTTAGGCACGAGTCATCTGTTTGCCACAGCTAATGACTGGATCAATTTTCAGAGTAAATCTGGCCAATTAGATTCTGGTATTCTGGCATTTTGTATGAGGTATTTTGAGTTGTATGTTCATAATCATTCAGGCTTTGTACTTGCACTTAATGTGGTCATTCCTTATTTACATTTTAAATTGGTTCTTTTCTTCGTTGTCTTGTTTTCTATGCTGCAGCAGTATAAGGCTCTTGGCCAAGATGGTGAAACAAAATTTATTCTCAGTTGACTTCTCTGGCTAAAGAATTAAATATGGGTTCCTCTTTTGAAATTAGTTTCTTTAAAATGTAATAAGTTTTCTATTTTTAGTGGAGGGGTCTGAAAGAAGGAATAGCATGGCAACATAGCAGAGTGCACATTTTGATGTTCCCAAGTGAACCTATGTGAAGAAAATGGTTGGTAACTCTCCCATATGCTTGGTCACTGAGAAATTCTGTTTGCATGACTTGCAAAACAGTTGCCCAAACTGCAGTGTCATTCTGATTTTTATGCCTTCTGCTATGTAGAAGGAAACAAAGAAGGTAAACTGACAGATCGAGATGATCAAGATGATGGTTGAGGGCTCGACTGCCATCCATACTTTTGGTAGAACTGGCCCAAATTGTTTTACAAAACTGAGCTGGGGGGGGGGGGGGGGTCGGTTGGTGGTATGTGCTCTAGGCCAGTAATCAGTAAGTGTGACAGACTGGCGACAACCGCGGTGCTTCTCTGAAATGGCCATGTTCCCCACAGGAAACGGCGGCGGAGCTGTGAGCATGATGACAGCCAGCTTTTACCCCAGGCCAAGAGGGGGGGCACGGGCCACCCCCTGTTCCCTGAGCTGGGTCGTGATGCCTGGGACTCGGAGGTAAGAGGAGAGGACACCTGCTCCCCTTACACCTGAGCAGACCCTCTCTGTGGCAGGCAGTGCGTGGTTGATTTGAGGGGCATGGGACAACGTGCTCCCTGGTTGAAAAGATCCTCAGATTAAGTGCTGTGGAGGAAAAGCAGGGGGTGGGTTAGGGCTGCAGATACTTGATACAGATACAGAACATTGTGGAATTGCGTGTCATTTCCTCCTCAAACTGTTCCTGCTGCTTGCACAGGCCCAACATGTTATTTGGTACTCGGGTACCAGATTCCACTGATTGTAAATCCACATACATGGCAGCTACTATCTCAAGCAGGATCTCCAAGAGCTATTAAGTTAAGCCTGAACTGACTCTGCTGTTGTGCTCTGAAGTGCAGCTTCCCCTGTAAAGATGTGCAGCACACTGTCATAAGGTATGTCTGAGTATTGGAGTGACTTGAAAGAGAGCAGGGGCAGAAAGTGGAGAGCAAGTGGAAGATGGTATGAGATCACATTTAAGATGTCTAGTGTCTAGATTTCTGTGTTGATTTCTCTCTAATCTTGGTTAAACTCTTGTTGGGTGCAGTCAGTTCCAGGGCTGTACACCAGTGCACATCTAAGTAAGTGGCAGTCCTGAAAAACCATTGTAAATGACACCCGACAGTGAAACAATGACAGCGAGACACCAGCAGCTGGGTTTTCTGCTCGGCGTCGGCAAGGGCGAAGGAAAGGCAGGCCTGAGATCAGTAAGCGCTGCTGGCCCGGTGGATAAGCAGTTCACCTCTTTCCGCAGTCCTCCAGCAGTGACTGCAGCGCCATCAGCAGCCCGGAGCGAGCGGCGGGGAGCAGCAGCCAGTCTGCGGAGGCAGGAGGGTACCACCCTGGCGCCTGCAGCCCCCCCAGCGCGGCGCAGCTCACCGAGGAGTCCGCGTCCCTGAGCCAGTGCTCCTACCAGCGCATCAACCGCATCCTCCGCGAGGCCCACTTCCACAGCCTGCAGAGCCGCGGGCAGCCGGGGGCCACGTGACTGCCGCCCTCCGCGCCCACCCCCTCCCGAGAGGGGAGACCGTGCGACTTCACGCTTCTCCCCTGGCCACCAGGGAGGGGGCGCTGGACATGGAGCATTCAGCCTTTGCACAAGATCCTGTCCTTTTGTTAAGGACCTTGCTTTATCATGTTTCAACACATTTATTTTCTTCTCTCATCCATGGGCAGGTTGTCATTGTGTAGCCCATCTCTTGATATGGAGGATATTCCAAAAACTATAGCATTGGTTGCATTGATGATTAAACATGTTTCCTCCTTCTGTGTTGGCCAAGCTGGTTTACATGCTGTTTACAAAGCCTAGCTTAGTGGATATTTTGATTTAAGCTTTATTTTTCCTGTTGTGAGTAAACTGATAGGAGGAACGGAGAAAGGCAGTGAAAAGAAGAGAAGCTGACCCTGGGCCTGTGAAGTATCTTGCCAGGTTTGAGTGGCATATTCAAATCATCTGGTTCTGGACATCTGTCCTCTGTTATTACCAGCTGTTTGGCTTTTGGGTCACAGTAGGAGGAGGTTATTTTCATGTTTCTTGTACAGTTGCTTGGAATTTGCAAACTAAAAGAGTCTTTTTCATAACGCAGAAGAGATTTGAGTCAGGGAGTGTGTTTCGAAGGATGTCTCAAGTTGGTCCTTTGTATTAGTGTACTTAGAAGCTACATTTTGATTTGCATTAAAGCCAGGCCCTCTCGGTGAGTTAAAGGGGTTTGATGGCACTTATTGGTGACTTTGTTTTAACAATATTTATGTTGTATTGGTGAAAGAGAATGAGTACTGAGCTGTTCACATAATTCTATAGGATTGGTTTAATCACTGAATTGAAAGCAGTACGTGAGACTCGTGTTCTTTGCCATGTAAAAACTAGCAGAAATGTGGACCCCTGACTCTGTGAAAAATCTGCTTATAGCGCCATTTCACATTTTCTCTCCATTGTTTGCACTTTAACGTAGGGTGGAGAATATAAATCATCTGAAGCAATAAATTAAGATATTGATTCAAAATTCATGACGCATTGTGTGACTTCCATTTTTAGATATAGAGCACCTTCTTCGACAGACTCATTCTGAAGAGATTTTAAAGTTAAACCAAAGTCCTGTAAGTGACCCCCCTCTCCCCCCAGCAAGACAAGCCCATCAGCACCCTCTTCAAGGGCACACATATTAAGCTGACCTGACAAGAGTTGTGCACCTAATTTAATATTTGTCTAACTATGGTCTCCAGTTTTAGTAGTACAAAGTGGGCTTGGGTGACAGAAAATAATTTAGCAGTTTAAGTTCTTGTGTAGCAGAATTTAGGTAGGAAATATAGTATCTGGTTAAAGCAAATTAATTTGTAGTGACCATCGCTTATGTTACTGCAATACTTTGTTGGGTTTCTCAGTTTGCCAATGAACCACAAGTAGCAGGTTTACTTAAATGGTTAAATGACCATGAATCCTTTGCCTGGCAGAAACCTACTTGCCTGCATCGGAGAGAGAGTTTTATAAATCAAACCACTCAAGAAAGGTTCTTGTTTTTAACCCTGCAGTAGTCAGGTTAGCACTTGGCTGAGTTCATTCAGTCTGTAATGATGTACTGTGTAGCCAAGGGGCGAGTTTAAAAACACCCTCTTGTCTCCGTGTGTGCCGCCATTACAGAGCCCACTAGCTATCCTGTCCTGTTTTCCACATTCCCGGGGAGAAAGGTTTTACATATAACCTTTTGACCTGGTGTTTGAGGGGAAAACCTGCAAGGTATTGGAGGAGGAAGGTGGGTAAATATCCCAGGGACTTCCTCCATAGCCATTGTGAAAGGATGATGGGTTGGAAGAGCTGGTGAGTGAACAAATGAGTTGGACACTTCAGGGGCTTCATTGAGCTCAGTCCCCACCTGGCTGACCACTGAGTCACTTGTCCCTTTAATATTAACATCTTTCCTGGCTCCCATTTTATGTGCAGTGTGACAGGAGGCAGCCAGCTACCTTTTGAACTGTTCCCATTAAATATTACCCACAAATTTTGTTTTTTGTATGGCGAAGATGGAAAAACATTTGATTATAATGTTTTGTATTTAGAAATGTACAATAACTTTTAGCCTACATTTGAGTTCTGGATAGTTTTTTTTAACCCATCTCTTACATTTGAAATAAACAGTTGTTTCATTTTTAATCTTGTCTTGCTTTTCTTGTAGGTAGTACACAAAGCAAGAGTTCGTTATTTTTTTCATTTTTAATAGATGGTTGGTGTAGGTCGGTGTATATTTAATTACAATTTGAAACTATTCAGAGTGCAGGCTGAGTCTTGTAGCCCAAACCATTTCAAGTGCCATTTGAGTGGGCTTGTGTGTTGGGCACAATGTCCTCTGCTAGCCTTTGAGCATGCAATCTATAGTTGGTGAAGATATCAGAACTTTTTCATTTAACTTTGTTGGTGAGAACATCCCCGCTTTTTGGTTAAACTTTGCCGTAGATGTCACAGGGATCTGTGTGTAGAAACATGCATAGCAGTTGTGTGATGTTCAGAGCTGGTCATGCACACCATGCTGGGGTACACAGTAAGCCAGTTTCACACTTGCTAACCGTTCTGCATTTGATGGCTTTAGCAATTTAATTTCACAGTTTTGCATTACAGCCCAAGGTATTCCTGTGATCCAGGAGGAGCAAACGTTAAATAACCATAGACCTTCACACTCGGCCCAAAGAAACCTCTGCTCAGTTCATTGTATGTGATGTGATCACTTTTACACAGCAGTGTTACAGAGAATGCAGTAGAGAAGCCGTTCTGGTGATCCAGATGATTCCACTGTTTTTGTGTCTATAGTAGAATAAAAAATGGGGCACATCATTATCATGTAGCATTCAGAACAGGCTAAGCAGACATTGTGCATTAGCTGGTTTACTGCGATGCTTTCAGTGTTCATCGCTGCATTGCACATGCTTGAGTTGATAACTTCCTAATACGTTGGATCTAAACCACTAGCCTCAAGGTTGCAAAAAAAGAGTCCTGCAAGTCTGTGGTACGGAGAGATACCATGCTTTTTTCAGTGTGCATGCATTGGTAAACCATATTTGCATGAATAGCACCACCTTTCAGATGGGATGTTATGTGTGCAGATGTAAAAAAAAAACATCTGTGACATAAGGTGTTAGAACAAGAATCCTTTGCTGCTGCAGCAGTTCTATTGGAAGTAAAATGATGTTCTGCCTTGCAGCAAAGGCACTTATCGGGATGCAGAAACCAGTCTACACAGCCCTGAATAGCAGTACATAAAAATTCCCTCATTCATGATTAATAGGTTTATTACTATAAACCGCTATATACGGTATATCGTAAAACACAGTAGAGGCTTTTCTGACCAATTTTTTAAATTGGTTTTCATTAGCTGAAACTCAAGTTAACCGATCCTCACAGAACTGTTAAACTTTTCTTAATATAACATGTTCTGACTACAGTAAAAAATGTTTTTTTTTTATAGATCTGCAAAAAAATCAGAAATGAGTAGTAAGAAAATAGCACTGTCAATATTTCACTATTCACTCATGAGGGAAAGGCTTCTCATGACACCCACATGGTGCAACTTATTTTAGCCAACTGGATCTTGGATCATAAATAACTTTGTAAAGTAACAAAAGCAAAGAGGGCGTCACTACACACAGAATGCATAATACAGGAAAATAAAATAAAAGGGGCATATTATTTTTATTCCCCTTTAAAAATAGCAGTTGAAATAGAAAGGCAACCAAGTCGGTGAGTACTTGACTGAAAGTGTTTTGCATGTTAAAGGCTTTGGAGGCTTCCTCCAACAAGTGCAGATTTGTGGTATTCTTATCAACTGCTCTTAGCTGGCACGTATTAAGGTTAATGATTTAGGACAGTTAATACTGAAGTCCTGGCTTTCTTTAGTAGTACCCATCAGCTGAAAAAAGCCAAGCATTGGTGACCCACTCTAATTCATTTCCTGTTCATTTTAGCAACACATGATGAATAGGAATCTCTCACTGACTAGTCTAGGTCCAATCCCACATGACGAATGCTTGCTCCTCTCATAGGCATATCCAAAAACCTACACTGCATTTCTATAATCATGTATAATAATAATAATTGCTTACACTTATATAGCGCTCAAAGCCCTTTACAGGTAATAGACTCCCTTTCACTACCATCAATGTGCAGCCCCCTCTGGATGAATAATCACTGTTCTTATTATTGTCATGATTACTTCTGCTCTGTAGACATCAGGCCTGGTCTTTACACATTGAGAAAGGAGAAAGCCGAGAGGTGCTGGCTGCGCTCGGAGTCGGATGGCGGCGAGGCTGTGATGGTATTGTCCGTGAAGCAGGCCGTAGGCTCTGCAGCCCTGTGAGCGTCGGTATCCTGCACTATGCACAGAGCAGGAGGAGTGGCTTCTGTCCTGGAAGAGTCGGGGAAGCATGAAGGCTTGCCTCTTACAAGCTCCATGCCTGAAAAAAGAGACAGCTTATTGGAGGGAAGATCATCAAGATCCTCCACCACAGCTGATGCAGGCTCAGAAACACTGTCCCCTGCCGGCGTTCCCTGCCCAGACACACCGCTGTCTGAAGAGGCACATGCACCCAAGTGGCCGTCTTGGTAATGCTCTGGGTCTCTACCTGGTAGAACATCCTTGGTAATATTGACAGTGGGTTGGAAAAGTTCTGATCCACATCGTTGTACCTCTGTCTGCGTGCAACGGCTATCCCATTCCGAGTCAGAAACTGAGGAGATGCTGTTTTGGTATCTGGGGGGTGATATTTCACCTTGGAGGGTGACATCTTGACTCCCTGGTGCCCTTTCTATGTTGGTCTCCCCACGTGATGTTGGCAAAAATAGGGTGTCCATTAGTTTGGAGGAGTCCTGCAGGGGTGCAGGGCCTGTGACTGCTGGGAAGTCACTGCCGTCACACCTTGATGCCCCCTGCTGGCCATGCATCAGCGCCTCAAACTGCCTGAGGAGCTGCAAGTGCACAGAAGAGCAGTCACTTGTGGTACTCTTCAAATACAGGAACTCTTAGAAAATCTGAAGCTATGGGTTACAGGGGAGATTTAAGATCTGCTTCTTTACCCCTTAGCCCAACCAGTGCTCACCTTGGTGGCCTTATTGGCCACAGCCCCTGGTGGTCCATTGCTCAGCTGCACCAAGTGCTTCTGGGTAACCCCAAATACATGGTCCAGTGAAAGTAGGTCAGATGACATCAGACACGCCACTGCACACAGAGCCCTCTGGAAGGACACAGAAAAAGATAGATTCACAACAACAAAAAATTCTCATTTATCCTTCGAAGTGATTCAATTTGTACGTTCACGTACTACTAGCTTTTGTAACTGGCCTGGAGTGAAGCAAATAGGCCAATGGCAGTTGGCAGACATACTGCACCCCTCTTTACACCCTTCAAGTTTTTCATATACATACAGCCTTTCACAGTTCTTCAAAGTCATACGTTTCATTACATATATTTGAAATAACAAGAGCTTTTACAAATGAGAGGAAGTCTTTTAGACGTTTGTAGCTTACTGATCCAGAGATCTCTTCCAGCTCAACTGAAGTCAGGGTATTGGCTTCAACAACATGGCTGGGTATGTTATTATTATTCAGTGTTGCACCAAAGTAGAAACCTCTGGTAGAAGCTTTACAATTCTAACTATGTTTTTTTTTTAGACTGGGATGAGGACTGGGAACCCATAGCATAGGAGACGAAGACTGACCAGAACAATGTCTGGACACTTAATGATCTGTGCAGCTTTAACTAGTGCATAGAGCTTGTGCACTGCGACAAATTACGGGTGTCTTGAGGACACCTGAAACTAATGAGCAGGAAAGTCATGGGCCAGAAACAACAACGTACCATTTGGACAGTCTGTGTACAGCCCTGCAGCTTTCCACAGAGCAGCTCCACCACCGCTTCACAGTTCAGCGTGGCACACCTGCAGCAGGATTACCAAACACGGGAACAGTAGTAACCGAAAGCAAAACAACAAAAGCCAGAGACACAACAAAATTGAGAGTGCGCAGCGAGGACCATACTCTTTAAGAAAGTGCTGTGTTTCCTCTCTGGATAGGAAGACCTTTGACCCCTCAGTCAATCTGTTGATAAGGATCATTTCCTGGGCACAGTCTCCCAAATGCATCACCTCCACCCTGAAAAGACACCCATCACAGTGTCGTAACAGCCTCAGCCATGACAACAGATCATCCACTTTAACACTGTTCTGATCTCACCAGCGAATGGCAACACAAGGTTACGAAGCATTCTAAATCAATTTTCAACAGATTCTAAAAAAATATGCGCTAAATATACACTAAGCTACTTAAGCCCAGGTCAGTGATAAGTCAATACTATCATGAGATGCGTGTGCTTTAACGTCTATAAAATAAAGAGATTGTATCTCTTACATGTCTTATAGAGCCTCTGTTCTATATTCCAGATCTTACAAACCTTCATGTGCAAAAATAAATCTGAATTTCTGATGTTCCGAATGCACCCAAAGGCAATCTGAAGGCATGCGTCTGACTGCAATGAGAGATACCGTTCTGACAGATCCCCGCTCTCCCTGCTGGCTCCTGATTGGCTATCAGTCCCAGACTTGCTGCTGCTGCTGCCCTGAGAGGCTCTGCTGCGATCTCCTTTCTCCTGAGAGGAATTCTGGGAACTGTGCCCACTGTCGCTCTCCTCCCAGCCCCCGCCAGGCTGGCCCGGACACCGCTGTGCTGATATGCAGAAGGAGAGGGGGCTAATAGTTCATAAAAGCAATCATCTGGCATTCATATCCCATCGTCTGTAAGAATATGGTTTGAGCATGCTCAGAAGATATACCAGAGACCTGTTCCATCTTATTATAGCTAGGGTGACCCTTTGGGTTCCTAGGGCACGTTTTGACAAGGAGTTGAATTTTAGAACTGTCCTTAAACTGGAAAAAATAATTTGCAAACTCAATACAAAATACAAAAATTATTATTAATGGCAGTGCGCAGCAAATAATCCTGTAGTAGTGATCAGCCATTCACTAATCCTTCCAATGATCAGACCATGTGAGCAGCTGGAAATTGCTGCTGATTTGTCTGCAAGTGCCATTGTGGGTCTGGTTTTATAGTGAACAGCTGATACACATTTACTGTGCACGGGAATTGGGCACCAATTTTAATTTCAGCAAAGCAGAATGTTGAATTTACAAGTTAATTCCCTCCCTTAAAGTGCCCCAGTGAAGATGGAGTGATATGGCTACTATGATTAGAATCCATATGTAGTGGTTCTATAGAGGAAGCAATTTAGTGAGAGAAATATGCTTGACTTTGTTTGTATTTTCAACTTTCATTATGGTCTGCCTGCAAGACACATACTTTAAATAAGACATTCACATTCAATATTTTGCACCTTGGTTGTTAATGTAATAGTGTGTTAGTGTTACTGGATTTTTAACAGCCTCATCACACCAGGGTTATTACTTTTCTGAATTGAAACACATCCCCTTTATTACCATAAAGCATAAAAATACTAATCATATATTCCAAATAAGATGTCAGAATATTTTTAGATATTTATATTAAGAATTAAACCACTGGCTTTGGGCTAGTTTACAAAGTTGTATTGTTGTACAGCTAAGTCCTTTAGTGACAGTCCCTGAACAGCTGTTTTTGTAAAGCAAATGGCTTTGCCTCAGTTTACTTTTTGCTTTCCAATAACAGGAAACAGATTCTGACAGGCTGGCTGCCCCCTCACCTCTAACCCCACGGACAGGCACACTGCAGGGACATGCTGGCACTGCCACCTCCACTACTTCAGAGGGCGCCACCACTGGCTGGTAGTTGTTCTCATGGAGACGGATGCCATTGTGTTCTGTTGGTGGCAGGACGGCGCTGACCACCACCTCCGCTGCCTTCTGTATCCTGTCCAGCAGAGTTCCACCTGCCAAGGGCACACAGGTACTCTGGCACACTCACATAATAATTTGATAATTCCTTACACTTATATAGCGCTTTTCTGGAAACTCCACTCAAAGCGCTTTACAGGTAATGGGGACTCCCCTCCACCACCACCAGTGTGCAGCCCCACCTGGATGATGCGACGGCAGCCATTGTGCACCAGTACGCTCACCACACACCAGCTCTCAGTGGGGAGGAGAACAGAGTAATGTAGCCAGTTCAGAGAGGGGGATTATTAGGAGGCCATGATTGGTAAAGGCCAATGGGAAATTTGGCCAGGATGCCGGGGTAACACCCCTACTCTTTTCGAGAAACGACCTGGGATTTTTCATGGTCACAGAGAGTCAGGACCTCGGTTTTACATCTCATCGGAAGGACGGCACCTTTTTACAATATAGTGTCCCTGTCACAATACTGGGGCATCAGGACCCACACAGACCCCCTGCTGGCCCCGCTAACAGCTCTTCCAGCTGAAACCTTAAGTTTTTCCCAGGAGGTCTCCCATCCATGTACTGACCAGGCTCACACCTGCTGAGCTTCAGTGGGCTGCCCGCTGTGAGCTGCAGGGTGATATGGCTGCAAGGAGACGGGCCGACAACCCCGGGCACACTTACTGGAGCCATGCCTTCCAGGACTGTATCCGAAGCCCTGCACCCCAGACCTCAGCCCCGAGTCTGAGCCCATTCCTGAAAAGGAAAGAAGCTATTATATTACAACCCAGGTGGACACTCAACATTCTATGTAATAAAAGCTTGTTTTACGTACTAACTCCCACATCTGCAGAGCATTTTTATTAAAGGGGAACTGCAACACTCTTTTTCTATTTCAGGGTTAGAAAGAATCTGCACTGATGAGTGCGTTTTAAACCACAATAAAAGTAAAATGTACACATTAATTTGTAAAACCTCCAATTACATCCCAAAATAGACTACATTTCCAGGTATGTCCAGCGCCATGTTCTGAGATTCAAAACAAGGCAGCAAAACTCCCAATGATGTGATGTGGCCTTATTACATTGTAAAGAAGCAGCCTTGCGAATACATGTCTTTCAATCCAATAGAAATATTGCTCTCGATTTAGAGACAGTTTTTCCAACAAATACTACTTGTTAACTCTGCTAACTCTGCATGCAGATCACATTGGAACATGTGACCCTTTATTCATTTTTTCCCTTTATTCATTTTTTAATTGTATAAAATTAGTTTGCCCAGAGGGGTTGGGCAGCCAGTTGACCTTGGACACCTAGAGTTTTTTTTTCCTCCTTCCTAAGGAGTTTTTCGTTCCTCTTTTCAGCAGTAAGATCATCTGAATCAAACTCTTATTTAGGATTGAATTCTGTCCCGCTGAAAAGCTGTGTTGCAGGTTTTAAGGTAAGTGGCAGACATATATGCCGGAATACTGCAGAAACCTACATGCAGACATCTACTCACCCAAACTAGGCGTAGCAGCTTTGCAGGGGGATAAGGTGGGTTGGGGAGAGACTGTATCAGCGAACAAGACACTGGCCAACTCCTGAAAATGGACAGACGGGATAAGACACAGCAAGACAGATTAACTGTGTGAGAGAATCAGAAGATCAAAATGGCACTAGATGTGGATGCTATGAAACTGCTTTAAGTGCTTCTGCTCCTGTTGTGCGGTTTATTTTGAATGTGATGCCACCAGGACAATCCTTTAGCTCATAAATAAACTCTGTTTAATGCTGCAGCTGAAACATCTTCAATAGCGGAGGAGGACACACACGCAAGCACTCACCTGCGCTGCCATCCGCACCCTCTGGTAAAAAACATTGCCATGGATGGGATCTGGAGGACCGCTGAAAACTGACAGACACACAACACTGAGCCGGCAGTACACACAGCGCAGAGAGCAACAAATACAGGCTGCAGCAGGGCTCTCAAAATCAGCTGCCAGTCATGCATCTTCTGCTGTTTGTCCCACTCACTGCACACTGTAGTTCATATAATTAGTAATTCACTGCATAATTGTAATACCGCCAACCAGGTTCTGAGGTGTATCACAGGTACAATGATATTAACAATGATGTCGTCTAAGTGACTGGCCAGACTGAAACAAAAATAAGAAGACACTAGGCCCTCCAGGGTTTGGTTTAAGACTTCTGGTGTACTGTCATATCCCTGTATACAAAATCTCATAATTTGATAATAAAGGACAGTATGATCTTAGTTGGCAAGCTCATAGAGGGCTGCAGTGAAAGCAGATTACCCTCCAGACTCCAGATAATTTGCATAGGTATGAGGGGTTCTGCTGAACATCAGACAGGCTGAGGCTTACCAGTGGCTTCCTGGACAAAGGTGATGTTCCGGCGGAGCTCTGTGACAAGGTGAGGTGAGGCACTGCTGCAGAGGTGAAGAAGGATCTTGAGGACCTGGCAGAGGAGAAGGATGTCAACACAGAGCCCTGCAGTATCCTGCTATGTGGCTCTTGCCACTTCTCTTGCATTTGTGTTTCTCGCCTTTCGTTTCTGTAACCATTCTTGAGCGCTCCAGAGCTCTCCGAGCTGCCATATTCGACAGCCACAGCAACAACCCTGCATTCAGCACACTCGTGTCCTTCTCCAAGTCACAATGCGAGGCTTTAAAAACTGGACCACAGAGGAAGAACATTCCTCTGTGTTCTTCTATGTTCTTAAAGTCCCCTTAAGCACTGTCAGGAAAACAACTAATTGTAAATTGTTGTAACCTAAGGCTATCTGGTGCTTGGCCTACATAAGTCGGATAAAAGAATAGAAGAGGCAACACATCGGTTGACAGGTGCCCTGCTTTCATGACATCAGAGCACGGGAGCAGCCCTGACCCTCCGCTGCCCCTCTCACCTTGAGTTTAACATGACAGGAGTCCACCTGCAGCCGTTCCAGCAGGTACTCCAGCAGACACTGGCTGCAGCCCACAGACTCACGGGAAAAATCTGGGGTTCCATTCAAGTTAAAAGATACAACTCTCCCGTTGACTGGTTCACTTAGTTCACACTGAGCACCTCCTGCCAAGGACTACAATACAGTTCTATGTGGTAACATAGTGGAGGTTCCTTCTGTGGGTTTTCAGAGAAGTAAAAGGTTAGTTGTGCATCACAAGAAAATAATACTAAATCTTTCATGAGTTATTTGTTAGACATAACTGGTGACGTGATGACTACAACACAAATACTGATTTTTTTTAAAAGGCACTTATTGATGGCATATAGAGTATTTTACAGTAATTTTTCACATTTAATAACATTTTTTTAAAAGTGACATGATTGACTGCTCTTTTCACTGAGTCTCATTAATGTTACTGGCGTACGTTATTGATGACTATGTGTCAAGAGTTCTTAAAGATTACGGAGGCAGTGGACAAAGGATACTTCCAATCTCCTCAAAAAGATAGCCAGGACATGGAGTTTCGTCATCTGCAGTGGCTTTCATCAGCGTGGGCACCTAAGGGAGGAAAAATTGAAGATGATTGAAAATCTTTCCACTTGGAATTTACGACTGCAGTCCAGGATTTAATCTAGAGGTACTGACACTCGCAAAAATACTCAAAATGAAAAATGTCTTTATTCTTTCAGCAAAGGTAACCAACTTTACCTACACAGTCCTGCAGTTGAATCACCTCATTGATTGCCTTCTAAGTAACCCCCCGGAATTAAAAGATACCTTTTAAACATATACATCGGCACAAATACAGCCACTCGCCTAGTTCTTAGGATTTTAGCGGAAACGGCAACACTTAGCCATCGTTAATAAAGAAAACGTTTCCATGATGCCATAGTTCTATTTAATCACTCAAGTTTTGCTTAGATTATATATAGCAATCATATACACAGATTAAAATATTTAAACGCAGTGCGAGCACCACCTCGCCAGCTCTCGGTGCCGAGCCCTGCTTCAAACATAAAGTATCTTCGGTCATTAACAAGTGGAATATATGAATCCTCCAAGCATACTGATAGACACCTGTTAAAGCCTTTGACGTACTAATTTAAGTCGGTTACGACTAGAAGGAGTTATTTACTTGGAAGCTGGAACAACTCCCGATCTTAAACTGTAGTTTCAATTCGGAGAAGTAAAAAGCACACAAAATTGCAGTCTACCCCTGCGTCGACAGCGCATCCTGCCAGGTGCGGCTATGTTTTCTTTCGAACCCGGAGTTAGAATGACAAAGTATACTTTCTAATCGTAAAAGAATCATGGTCGGATAAATAATTTTATCTTAAAAACACTACGTTTCAGTGACTGTACCTACTTTCGGAAGGAAAGCGAGTCTCTCCATAAAGGTTGCCATGATTCCGCACTGTCAAAGTCCCAGCTGATCCTCCATAACAGTGAGAGGCGGGGCCAGTGTCGGGCTGTAGCCAACCGCAACGTGAAGACCGACACCTCCTTTGCTCTTATTGGTTCCTTCTTAGACTTGGCTGCGTGTTCCTTCCACTGAAGAGACGGCTAAGAACTTCCGGGTGCTAATTTGATTGACATGAATTTCCACCAACCAAAAACCTCAAGCAGACATCATTGGTCAATTGGAACAAACTCAGGGTATTGAGGTCAAGGGTAAGCAAGATGGCTGCGTTCAGAGAACAGAGAGAATGTAGGACATAACAGATATTTTAAAAGACGTTATTTTGTACAGCTGTCAAGTGTGTAATTAAAATGATATTGTAAAATATTTATATTACTTATTTAGAAAATTACATTATAACAGCCTGGTCTTTCCTTTAAGGGTTTAGATATTAACCCTTCAGTGTTACTCCAGCTCCGGTCAATTATATCCCAGTTAGCATGTCGGCAAAAAACGTTTGGACTCGCAGCCGGGACAGGATGAGACGGTTCCCGGAACTGCTGGCTCAGTGTTCCTCGGAGGTTAGTGGTTGTTCTCGATCTGTAGAGACCATTGGGGACTATTCTGGAGATTCGGTGACTTGGGAAAACCAAGCGTAAATGTCGAATTATTCGCAAAAAAAAAATAGAATGTGTTTTGTATCCTTGCAGGCAGCCGCTTATGGGAGATGTGTGTCTTCCGCGACGCTTGGCAAGCAGGACCTGAGGAAGGGTCAGTGCGGGAGGGAGTTTGAAGCGCTGAAGAGGTGTTGTGTGGCTGTCGTAAGTCGGCCGACTCGCTGCCCGTCTCTACCGACCAGAGCTGCAGTGAAGATAAAACAAGATCACTTTATTAGCCCTGTACAACTTCTTGCATTAGGAATTTGTCCTTTTGCATACCTCAGCTTGCGCTCCATGAGACACACAGACAGGGGGAGGGACGCCTGGGGTCAGATCGCAGGGTCAGCCATTTATACGGCGCCCCTGGAACAGTTGGGGTTAAGGGCCTTGCTCAGGGGCCCAACGGAGTGGGATTCCTCTGCCTTTGGACTGGAAAACTTCCACAGGTGCAGATCCTTCGCCACAGAGCCACTGCTCCACCGCAAATTAATACAGACTCACAGCTGGTCTTAATGGGCTTCATCACATCCCTTGACACAAGCTTTTATCGCTAGTCTGCAGTGAATGCTCACACACAATGTTTTCTAACAGTAAGGCAAAAGTAAGGGTCCTTTTGTCCACAGTGCATTTATTTTGGGGAAAAGCACCCCTGTGCTTAGTTGCCCTTAGAGCATCTTCGAACTGAGCTACAAGGAGTAACAAAGAAAGCTGGAACTATGACCAGGTCACTTACAGCCTGGTCTGCCTTCGTGCTAGTAAGGCAGTTGGGTATACAGGCGTCCTTCCTGATGTGGGAGAGCTCATGGTAGTTACAACTGCCTGTTATTAATGATGCTTATTAGTTGCTTAAACTGCGAGGTGTATATTTTTTCCAGCTACAGCAGGGGCTGAGAAGTATACTTTTGTAACAACCTATAGATTTCCAGTTGTGCTCCCAGACAATTCCTCCCATACAGGTGAGGAACAGCTGAAGGAAAGTCTGTTGCAGAGGAAAGATGTCCACCAGGATGTCCCAGATTCTTGTCTTTATAGTGTCGTATCAGCAGTTGTCAGTTTTACTGCAGGAAGGGAGTGGAAACTGGTCATAGCCAGAGGAACGGAGAAAGCCTCCTCAAATAGTTATTGGTGTAAAAGCTTGTGCATGATTTGGCAATGGTTCCTGCTTTGGCAACATTGTTATTTATAGGTTGTGTGAATAAATCTCCATAAATTTTAATTCTGCCTCTCTCTCCTTTCCTTGCAGGCCAAGAGAAATGTAAAATAGGACAGTCCTCCCACTGTTACGTGTGAAGACATGGAGGAAGAACTTGTTTTCTTCAACTGAAGCAAAGCCAAATTGGTCTCCATCCTCAAGTGAAACACATTAGACATCAGGGTTCATCACACAGTGCCAAACAGCCTAGATTATACCACTGACAGAAATACCCTGAACATCATCAGTTACTTGTACAAGCAAGATAAATGTTTTTCATAAGCTACTTATTTTACATTGAACTGCAGCATGTGAATAAAGTTGAGTAAAGCTAGGTTTGGGTTTATGAATTTAAAATCCTTAAATTAAGGATGCTGTAACTTTTATACTGTTAATTTTATTGACATACCTGCAGAAGCAGGACATATAGGAATTGTAGTAAAATGTATCATCTGGTTGTTGGAGGAGATTTTGTAAAAACAATTTGACAAATGGGTAATGTCTGTAATGCTATCCAGTATGTAAGAATGATTTGGTGACAGAAATTCTAGAGAAGAATGCAAAATGAGATACAAACTGCTTGTGAAATAAGAGATGAAAGTTAAGTTCATTAGTGTAAAAGATGACCCTGTCCTGCCACTAAAATTAAAGAATTTAAGCACATTAATAGATCACACATGGCTGTACCTGTGTCCTCATTATGAGGTCCCTGTATCCTGCATTTAAAACATGAGCACTCCTCATTAGCAAGATGTAAATAGCCAAAAGGCAGTAAAACCTGCCACTAATGATTCAGCTTCACTGTGCTACTCAAGCAGGTTGGCAATTAGAAGCAGGTTGTTAATGCAGGAAGTTTCTGCGAGACCAAAAGGTTTGCTTTTGAAATGCTGCACCTTGGCAGTATCTTGGTTTTCTCTTACAAGTCTGGGTTTTCAGCCCAAAGTTCTTATTACAAAAGTCATGTTTTCTTTTCCAAAACCTTACTTATACAAATTGCACATAGTAACAAAGGGTATCTTTTGGTGTTCTGTGAAATGTTCAAATCGTACAAACACCAGTGCAACTACTGGACATGATAGACATGATATAGAATTATGGTCCAGACCAAATTAACTTCTCTCTACAGGCCATAGGTTTTCTTAAAAAACTGTCTATACAGCTGCAGAGCCATTGAGGGTGTTTATTAAAACATGTACTGCTGGTTTGGTTCATGTGATTTTAAATAAACTTGCCTCAGACAAGGTTGTAATGTGGTCCTGTTGAAATACTGAACTTTAAATCAACATGTATTGTAATTTAATTGATAACCTGATTTTGTAACAAAGTGGAAAAAACTTCAGGACATCCAAGAGAGACCATATTGAAAGTGATTTTCAAAATATTTATTGTACATGAAATCAGTTTTTTGAAAGACTTTTTTGCAAAAAAAAAAGAAGCCTTATGACAATCAATGAATTGGTTTAGAAATTCAGTACAAACAGTACATCAAATCTTCCAACATTTAAAAATTGAGTTTTACTGTAACTTCTTGCGCAGTTGGTTTTATCAATTTAGCATGCAAACCTTTTTATTAATTTTTCACCCCAGCTACTTATCAAAAAAGCATTTGCAAGCTTCACAAAGTAATCTCTATTGCATGTGTTACAAGAAAGGACTGCTTTTGCCTATTTTTGCACTTATTTTCTATTTTGCATGGTGCCTGGAGGGTGACAGTCAAAAACCCAAATCAGTGGGTTTGAGAGCAGGGAATTTCATATGTACCAACCTAAGCCTTTTACATGAAAACATAATGCACTGTGGTCTCAGAAATACAAGATTTACAGTATTTTATACAAGATATTGGAGCACTTAGCAAGTCAACATGGGTACAGAGGTAGTGAGCTTGAGTTTCATCTAGGTAAAAGTTAAAGCAAACACATAAGTTATACCCCTTACATTATTACATACTGTAAAAACTGTTACTGCCATCTGTGACTGGGAGTCCCCAGCACACAACTGGTAGAAATGTAGCTCTTGGGACAGGCCGCTCCTCCCATCGGCACTAGCTCTTTCTCTCTCCTGTAAGGCACCGTGGTGCTTGCACTGTGCCAAAAGACAAGTGGCTCTAATTAACACGGTGTGGAGGAGCATGTCAGCTGTCATATCAACACCAAAGTGGTCATGAATACTTATGTTCGCAAAATACAAATAAAATATTTGCCACTGTTATATTTAGTTTACTGTTAATCTGGTGACTTTGGTATGCATTAGGAACAATGCTGAACACTTGAAATCCAATTACTTCTAGTCTCGTCTTTCATTGGTAGTTTAGATGTGAAATCGCATCTCAAGACAGTTGATGGTCCACAGGAATCTCATCTTCTCCAAAGCAGGCAGAGTCCTTGTAAATAGTTTTATGTATATTAAAGGATTGCCTTGATATACTTGAACCTTAGGCAACTTAATAACTTAATAATTTAGTACTGTCCTTGTGATGCACTATTCAGATTAAAAAAATATAAATCTGTGCAAGTAGAGCAACTATTTTGTTTTCTGCACCAATAAACAGTTGGAAGAGTTTGGCTTGGAGTTAAGCAGTGTCACAGCACAATCCCAGAATTTTTCAAAATGAGACAACCACATGACTGATTTTACAGATGGAAAAACTAGAAAAGGTACTGATCTGCTAGTTTTTTGGAACAAAAAGCAGTTCAGAAAGATCCCTGAAAAAATGCTAACTTCAACACTTAGCTTTAAAGTTCTAGCCATACAACACCAAACAACATTCTGCATATTGTATTTCAAGCCTGGATACCAAGTTGCTGGTAGACACATTTACTGCTGTTTTGTGACAGAGGCACAAAACAGTAAGTACACCTGTGACAGGTTCATTTATAACTCTTCAAACATGGATGGAACACGACATACACTACATGAAACACAATTCTGCAGTACATTATAACGACAATAAGGCACTAAAGATCAACAACATTCAGGACGAGGGTCTGGAATGTTATGTAAGAGTGTGAACAGTTTACGTTGACGAGCTGCACGATATCAGGTCTCATCTTCGTGCCAGCACGAAATGTCTGCTCATACAAGGCCTGTGAAAAACAGCAAAAACTGTCTGGTTACAGAGAGAGTAGAACAGTTTCTGTGCTGTTTTTTCAAACCCAGATCAGAAATGGGGAAAGAAAAACTGGTGTATTTAGGCAGCAAATTCAGGAGCTAACACACACCTACTTACTTTTGCACAAAAGCAATATGAACTTGACTGTTTTTGTCACCAACTCAAAATCAGACCAATCCTTCAGAGGAGGAAAAAAAAGTATACTTCACAGTCAGCAAACTGTACCTTCTTCAAATGTTCATTGACAAAACTTCAATCTAGATGCAAGCAGAATACCTTACACAAATGCATATGTTTGAATGGGTTTTGGGATTTTCATTAAGATTGCACTGAATGGGACTACAATACATACATTTCCATCAAAACAAATGCAAATGCACAAACACATTCCAAGATGATGTCAAGCCTATGGAAAAAGAGGCATGAAGTGGACATTAAGAGCATCATCAATCAGCTCCAAGGTTAAACAAACTTCTATTCCCAAACAAGCAGTTTTTAGCCTGTAATACAGGCATCTTTATCTCCACTCCTGCAGAGACAGTGCAGCAGATTTAATAGATAACCAACAAATCATAAGTTTCTAAAGACTCAAAATAATTCCTTTGTGAGGAATTGACAAGCAATTTGTTTAAATTGGAAATTTACCAGACCAGATTTCCTTTATTTGAGCATATTACGTGTTTGATTGATTTGATTCATAACTTACATCTTGAGCCAGTCTTTAAAAACGGGCGATTCTGGGTGAACTCTGAGACCTGGTTGGGGACTGGTGGTCTCCAGGACCAGGGTTGGAGACCCTTGTTCTAAAGGAACCAGTATAATCAAGTACAACCGACTCCGCTTCCCCCCTTGGATAAACAACAAGACATCCAAATTAAACTGGAACAATAAAAACTTGATTCACTTAGGTTAACTGATAAGTACATTGCCATGCATATCTACTTTTTTGTCTTTGTATTGGTCACGGTAAAAGAAAATGGAATGTAAAGTTACAGATTTCATATGGATGATCCTATCCTCTACGTATATTCTACTTCTCTATTAAAAGCCATGCTCAAACATACATACCCACACATTTCAAGGAAGGCCTTTGGAGATGAAGAGATTTTAAAAGCCCTTTCAGGCTGATTTGACGATATGGATTGTTCTAGTGTGGCTGAGGAACCTCCAATTAATATATGGCCACTTTGGTTTTATCGTTTATTTTGTACACATTTCCTTGCATTCACAGTTAATCCAGGACGGAACATATTGTTTCTAAGGTTGACAGCTTTTTTGGAAAAATAAGATGCCCAGTAATCCTGCCTACTGAAGGTGTGGTACCGAGACAGGTTGTTTCCCCAAGCGGGGCTCTGACTGACCGGTACCAGGGGAGAAAGACTGAATGTCTTGGTGATTTTACAATAAGGGCTCTTGCAGAGAACACTGTTGGCAATTCACTTTCACTGAACTGTCATTAGCACCTTTTCTGACTAATGGACACAAGACGCCTGCTGACTTCAAAGAACTCCAGATAATTTAGACATGAGTCAACGCCTGGTTTTCTCAGGTTAAAAGGTATTTTATGAAAACAGTCCATTGCTGCTGATGGCAGTGGATTCGAGTCAGCTCCACTGAGGTTTTGTAAGATTTGCTTGGAACAGGACGGATTTTACAGACCCAGCACTGACAAGCAGCTTGAAACATGCTTTGTAAGTGGGAGGAAAAAAAATGTCACAAAGCCATTTGGAATGTTATTTTAGTCTCTCAACTGGGAGAAGGTTCATAGTTAATGGTTTGCAACATTTATGGTTTTACAAATGAAAAACAAAAAGCCGCACCCACTGTGCTCCACATTAGCACATTCCCAAGACGTCCTCACTTTTTCTCCAAGGAAAATAAATCTGGTAGTAAATGTAGCATTTGCTGAAATTTTCTCCCCAAATTTGCAGAAAGTTTTTACTGTATTTTGGGGAAAATGGTCTAGAAAGTAAATTTTTAACTGTAGCAAAAGGCTTCATACAAGAGCTTGGTGGCAGTCTTCTGTCATCTGACAGCTGTCATCACAGTGGCATAGAAACTGGAGACAGACATCGAGGTAACAACCGAGATTCCACTGCAATGTGTTCAGTGTACAAGTCTTGATATTTTTAACAGTTTTTAACCTTTACGATTGGGCTGTGCTTTGTTTTGCTAGGGAAACGTTCCTGTTGTGTCATGGAACCCCGCCATTTAACCAGAACACCCCTGTCATCCCAAACTGCGGACTTGTCTGCGACGTGGAATGTCTTACTGCTGTACGTTCAAATAATCCATACTGTGAACAAAAATAAGGGAGGGATGGGATGGGAGTTCCTGTCTCTTCTGTCTGGGTTTAGCCAGCTGCAAGGTCTAAAACGGTTTCAATTTGTCAATGCATCCTCCCACAGCAAACCATGCTGAACACTCTAATGTTCAAAGCTTGCCTTGATCTTCGTACAACATTTTGGCTGTGGACATATGCTTCAGATGTTAAGAAGGCAGCAGCCAATACAAAAGAAAAGCAGAACACAGCCAGCTGCAGCTCAAGCTCAAGCCCTTGGAGCTTCAGGGCGATGAAAAGCTTGGGCTCTCGGTCCTTCAAGTCATGGGTTCTGAATGGGCAGAGCCGCCTCCACGTCGTGTGCAGGGGGGGTGAGGAGGGAGGCAGGGGCTTGGTTCTGGGATGGGCGCTGAATGTATTATTTCTCCTGTTCGGACTGGGGCTCCTGTTTGATCTGGCGGGTGTGAACCAGCGACCCCCCGAGCAGCTGGCCCTCAAGAGCGGCGTGCAGGTCCGACCCCCCCAGCTCCAGCAGGGGCTCCAGCCCCGGGACCCCGCCCCCACCCCCCCCCAGCTCCCGCCTCCTCCTCTTGAGATCCATTCCCCCCGGGTCTCTCGGCGGATTCCCCTTGGGCTCCGTGTCCCGTGGCTGCTTCTGCTCCAAGATCTTGTCTTTGCCGAGCGGCTGCTCTTCCTCCATTGCCGCTGCCCCTTCTTCCTCTTCCTCTGCAGGCGGCTGCCGTACCTCTGGCCTCTGCAGTGTGTCTTGCTTTAGGTCCCTTCCACCCTTCTTCAGAGATTCCTGCTCGGCTGCTGCTCTGGCCTTCACCTCCTCTACGGCCTGTTGGGCATCTCTGGCACGCTGCATCTCTCCTTCCTTGTCTTCCTCCTTCTCCATCTCCTTGTCCCCTTCATCGGCCTCTCTGCGTTTCACTGCCACCTCTGCCTGCTCTGCTCTCTTCTCTTGCTGCTTCTCTCCTTCTCCGGCCAGCTGTTCATGGTGGGGCTTGGGCTGAGCCTGCTCTACAGCTGGGGGCTTCTTCTGACCCAGGGGTACTCCTCTGGCTCCAACTTCTTTCTGCACACCCACCGCCACCCCAACCTTCACGTCGGGCTTTGCCTCATCAAATCGGTGCCCAGCTTCTCCCTCCCTTGGCTGCTGCTGGTGAGCCTTCACAGGCTGGTTCTCCTGCCCCCAGTTTGGTTTCAGCGGCTTGGCTGCGGCATCCGGCGGCACCTCCTTGTGCTGCTCTTCCTTGTTCGTCCCATCTTTAGGGCCGCTGTGGTCCACCTCCTCCGCGTTCCGTCCTGGGTGATGAGGGGCATCCTCTTGGGCCGGCTTGTGGTGGGACGCCCCGCCACCCGCGCGCTCCCTGTTGTCAGCACCCCCTTCTCGCTGGTCAGTGTCCAGCGCTGCGCCCCTTCCTGCCCCCACTGGGCCATCTACTGCCAGGCCCTGAGGGTTTTGACCCTCGGGTTCGGGCTTCTCAGCCAGCTGCTCTCCTGGTGGTGCCTGGGCCTCTGGGTGCTCCTCTGGAGAGACAGAGCAGGTTATACAGTTTACTGCCACAGTAGTAAACTCCTACATACGATTTTAAATGTTTAGAATTTTTAAAGGTATTTTTTCCACAGTTCTGCACAATTACAATTCACTGTTACTAAACCAACATGATATTTCAGCCACCTGAACCAACAAAGTTATTTCAGTAGTGTCACGAGATTGCAGTTTTTCATTGCTAGCTAAAGAGCACAGTATACATGGCACCTCATACTGCAACAGAAAAATTAAAAATAACTATAGAAAACTATTCATATTTAGGTCTTCAAACATTGCTACATTATTACTCAACGGGATATATAAAACACATTTATACAAACATGGAGTGTGGGGTGTCTCTGTGGTGAAGAGCCATTTTAACCTCATTAAAAAAACCATGAATGCCAGAGGGTATATTTCATCCTCCATCTAAACATAATGACAATAAACAAGAACTGCAATTCATTATGGCTCAGGCATTTCTAATTAAATACAGTAAATTAAATTAAAGACATAGGCATGTGCCCAGTAGCTTAAAGATTGTGTAATGAGAAATAGCTGCTTTAGAAAATAAAGCGCTGTAGTCAGTTATAAAAGTATGTGAGTAAATGAAACTTAATCGCTGTTCTGTTGAAAGGAAAGTTCATTTACATCACTTCTGAAAACCCAGATGATTAGCATGTTTTGGCAGGATGTTGCAAAGTAACACAAGGAATAACTGTGTAATTATTCTTAACACTTCTCAAAGAGAATAAACACCCAAAAAATAATTTCCTGAATTCTGTTTATGAGGAAGTCAGTAATGTCTGACTGCCACTTAGGTCATAAGGGAACAAAATCCTAAATGCATGATTTTGCAGGTCAGCCATACTTCCGCGTGGCGGAGCAGGTTCCAGGAACCCCCGGAGCCGGGGACAGGGGGGGTGCCTGGGAGTGAAAGTGTGCAGGAGCACCTCCCTGCACAGTGGGCCCGTGAGCGAGCAGGCAGCTTGCCATCAGGAGCAGGACTCAGCAGACCTCCAGGGCCACACGTGAAAAAATGTACAGAAAGCACTGTTGCACTTCGCTTACCTGTCAGAACCTTAGCAAAAGGAAAAACTGGCCACAGTCTCAACCCCAACACTGCAATTCAGTTTAACACCCTCCATGACAGAGGGCGCTGACATACTAACCTAAGCTTCCAGTTATTCTTTATACCTCACATGTCATTTATCTGCTAATAGGTAAAGCCAGAACTTCACTTCCTAAACCTGTCTCCCTACTACTTGGTCACTTTCCAAAAAAGTAGGGGATGGAAATCCTGATGTCCTGGCTAAATTCCACACTGGACTAGTAGTCAATTGGAGAAGCAAATTTCCCCACTTCTCCAGCTGTAGTGCTGTGTAGAGGGGTTGCTGGTGTGTAATGACTACCCAGGTGGGGGCTGCACTTCAGTGGTGGGTATTCATGTAGAACACTTTGAGAACCTTTGGGATAAATGCAAGGAATTCATTTATAAAAAGAGGAAATATCAGGAAGGCAAAGTGCTCTCTTTTAATCACTTAGAAAGTGCACTGCCTGGAACGTGCTGGGGGAGCTCTTAAGGAATCGCAAGCACTATGCGCTCTCTCTGCTTGGGTGTCTGCGAGTGCCCTGCAGGCAGTGTGTTACCTGGGGGCCTTTCCTCCTCTCCGTCCTGTTTCTGCTGGTGAATCTCCTTGTGCTGCTCCTGGATGACAGCCAAGAGCTTCTCATGCTGGTCCAACAGCCTCTTCTGCTGCTCCTGCTGCTCCTTCAGCACCTCCAGCAGCTTGGCTTGGTCCAGCTTCCCCTCCTGCTGCACCTCTGCGGGGGAGAGGGGGGAGAGAGGGGGCCGGGCATGAGCACCAGAGTCTACCGTCATGGAGAAAAAATGGATATGGAGCTGTGAGGGGGGTGTTAATGACACTGGGGATAAGGACATAGGTCTGTGAAATGCTCTCAATTGCAGGGAAAGAGCATGAGGAGACAGGAACAGTTCAGTGCCTTACATGAGAACAAGACAGAGAGCAAGAGTTCGAAGTGCTGTGAAATGGTCACACAAATTATACTAACAGCCTGCAGAGAAGGATCAAATCTCTGCTACTGCTAAACCCAAATGACACTTTGACCTGTCTAGCTGCACGAAGATGCTACCAGTTAACGAATGTGAGAACGCTGCCAGCGAACAGCAATGCTTTCTTTAATGGAAGGGACCAACGGGAGAAAGGTGAAGAGAAATCCATACCTGCTACCAGCTTTTTAATTTCTGCAACAGAGATCCATTGACAGCAGGAGAAAAGACAAGGATTAGAGGACAGTCTGCAATAACTACTCTAGACCTTGCACAAGACTAAAGAGTGAAATTATCTATGTCTGACTTTGGTACATTCTGTAACAAAAAGACGATCAATTTATTTTATAGACTGACGACTCTCCCTCAAATGGCCTTTTATAGAACATTAAATACTAGGCAACAATGCAATGGACTTCCGACATTTTATAAATGGTCACAAAATGTATTTTTAACAACACCTAAACCATTATAAAAGAGTAAGCTATGAAAATCCCTAACAACTCAATCAGAAACAACAGCATTTACACTACACGCAACGCACGATTTACCCCAAACGTATTGCCTCCTCCTTCCTGTTAGGAAATGAGTAAATTCAATATTGTGAAATGGATAGCCCAACCAGTGCATCCCAAGGCTGACTGAAAGGCCTAAATGCCTTGCTCCTAATATAAGGCACAAACACTACATAATCTGTATACTCATATTCAGCCTGGTAAGGGTGTTGCATCCAAGAACCTATCCTAGAAGCACGGGACAAAAGATAAGACTGCTTCTTGAGTTGAATACTTGTCCATACACACCCATACAAGAACACAGAGACAACTCTGAGACACAAATTAGCCCAGCATGCTTTTGGAAATACCCACACAAATGCTGGGAGAACAAGCAAATTTAATCACAGAAGACACCCCAGTCCAGAATCCAAACTAAAAACCAAGTCTAAATTACATAGGGCTATTATTGAAATAGGAAAAAGCACTCAATAAATCTCAATCTCAGGAAATAAAAAAGTATAATGTGTGAACAGTTGCCAAAGAATGCCCTGAAGGGGCCTTCTAACAGAAATGAAGTCTTCACGCAACAAACTGGCTGAATGACACAAAAATCATCTTAGGAAAGCCCGTTTAGCGAGATGCCATTTCAAATCGGATTTCCAGATCAGAGCAAAAATAAGGCTCCCAGTTAGTGATGGGGTTCTCTGGAGCAAAGAAAGTATAGCTCTTTTCTCCCCTGCGCTTCCGATCCAGCCAAATTCTGAGAATGGGGCAACAGGCAGGAGCCATACGAACACAGCGCAGCCACGCTACACTGAAGTGCTGCGGCCCACTAACGGCTTCAGTTCAGTTACCACTCCAAAACAGGTTACATGCTCACTCACACTCAAGTTTCACAGCTGTACTATTTACTGTTCTGAGAAGACAACTTTTGAAAATCTTGCAAAATCCAATGTTGTAGCCATACCATGTGATACAAAAAACAACTGAATTGCAGCTCAATTGTTCAAGAGGTTGCGGTGGAACGAGTTACAGAAGAGCAGTCCCCGATGTAACACAAGCCCGTGAAAACAGGTCAGAGGTGTGCCAGCAATCGAGCTGTCTTTTTGTCCTATTTCACATGGGTGACAAATGTTTCAGCTAGAAAAAAAAGCTACATGAAGACAATGCTTGTTTAGGCCTAGCTCAAGCTACTGGCATCAGAAAATATCACGTCTCGTCAGCTCCTTGAAGGTCACTTCTACTGGAGGAAGGAGAACCTGCTTTCACAGCTCATTTACTCTCTCTAAATGCATCTTCATCTACCTGGACCTACTGTACAGCTACACACTTCATGCTGTGCTTCTCCTCAACCTTCAGACTAGACATCGTCTCCACTTAAGTGACTGCATAAGCACACCCAATAACGCAGTCAGCCACAAACTCACAGTACCTTAAAGGACTTTTCAAATTATTTTTAGATTAGAACTACCTTTTTAAGTACAACTAGCCTAAAACAAAATGTTTGGTTTGAACTTTTTTTTACTTTCTGTATGGAAAAAATATATATTTAGGAAGACATCGGTCATTGAGGTATGGTATCTTCTTGAAAGTATTTAAAAGTAGAAACACTGATCACCTTTCTGGTACAGAAAAGAAAGTGTATCTGAGAAATATCAATTTTTCAAATGTATCAGCAGCTCCAGAAAGGTTACACTCACCATCTACTTTGTCCTCTGGTCCCATTTCCTTTACCTCCAAGTTCCTCTCAGCTCTGTCCTCTCCCTGCCCATGATCCTCTGGTTCAGGCCCCCCGTGCGGCTGGCCACCTGTAAGTAGACAATTGGTACTTTTGCTTAGTCTTTGAATCACTGAAAGCCCTATAACGTTCGGCTGCGTATAGCAGCCTTTGAAAAATGGTGGAGAGAAGAAACTGATTTTTTTTTTAAATCACCTTTTCCTACTGATTTCTTGGGGGCCTTGTCTGCTTCTTTGGGGTTCACTGCCATGTTCTCCCCTGCATTTCCAGGGTGCACCTCTTTTTCAGGAGCCTGCTGTTGCTGGGCAGCACCCTCCAGGTCCTTATAAGCTGGCTTCATCCGTTGTCCTTCCTGTCCGTCCTTGATGTCCTTCCCTTCCTGCTGTGGCTCAACCGCGTTCCCCTGGGCGCGCTCCCCTGCCTTTGCATGGTCTTCCTTCTTGTGGCTCTCAAGGCCCTGGGCCGCCTCTCTTTCCGGTGCTCCTTTCTGCTCTTCTTCCTCCTCTGCACGCCCCTGCGCCACACCCTGACCGGCCTCCTGGGCAGGCTCGTTCTTCTCCAGTTCCTCCTTGTCTTTCCTCTCATCCACAAGCACCTCGTCATGAGGGATGGGCGGCTCATGACGGTGGGCTTCCCCAACAGGCACTGCCACACCTGCAAAGTTAGGAGAGGGTTACAAAGCGCCTTTTATCCCCCTTCCTTTCATCAATCTTCTTTCACAGCTATTAGGCTCCAACACTTCAGAATACACAGCCTATGAATACAATATAGGCAGTGGTATAAGATTTAAGATACAATGGTAAAATAAATCAGTTAACTCATCCGTGCAAGAGGATGCAGATAAAAGGCGTGCTTTGATTTCTGCCCAGTTAATACAATGAGCGTTTCGTTTTCTAAAGAAAAAAAGTGAATAAAAAAGTGAGCTAGAACTGGTAACACTTTAATAGACAGCTTAATCTCTTGCACAGTTATGGTTTCTATCAGAAGTCATGGGGTTCATTGTATTTCTATACTGATTAGTCCCTTGCACTTATGAATAAACCCAGTCTGTGGAGTGATTATGTTTTTCAAATGTCATACAAAGCAAATACAATGTATATATCTTTATCTACAGTAGCATCTTTCATCATTATTTGCAACAAAGATGGCCACTGTTGGCTAGTAATGGCTATGTACCTGTGGATGCCAATGTCCCCCTTAATGTTAACTGCAAAAGGCAATCAACAGAATGAACTATCACTCAGTGATGGTGGTAAGGCCCGGCCCATCAGTGTAGGGTCACCTGCATCGGGTCGATCCAGCTGAACCTCCTCCTCCTTCTTCCTCTCTGGGATCTCCACCGGTCCTTTAATCTGGGGGGGTTCTGCTGGTTCCCTCTGGCCTGGTAACTCTGCCTCCCTGGGGGGGTTTGGTTTCTCCTGCTTGTCCATTGGCTCATGCACTATCGGGTTTTCCACTGCAGGGACAGAAGGAAGTCTGTTCCTAACATACTGGGGAAACCACTAGAGTGCACTGCAGCAAGCTCAGAGCTGAGAAAAGCACAGGCTCAAGGCAGCTGCGTACCTGTGCCATGGTCAGCATTCTAATTTATATAATATTTAATGTCTTTTTTTTTTAAAGGTTAAACATCAAACAAGCCATGAAGAATGACTTTATGAAAAACAAACTGAGTTCTCCCTTCAAACTCTTCATCATAAGGTGTGCAAAACACCACAAGATAGTTTCAGTACTTTCTCTATGCTTAATTTATATAGGCTACCACTAAACCAAAGCAAACCTTTTCACTTTTCTCTTTTCTAGGTCTAAATATGTGATTGGGTATAGAGAACACATGGACAGCCCACCTGGGACAACACCCACACAAGAAACAGGTCAAGCCCCCTCCGGAGTCTGAGTGCTTTAGAAGAACAACTCGAACGTAGGGAGAACAGTAAAGATGCATGCCTTAAAACCTGCCACTAGATGGAAGCATAAACACAGGAGTCACAACAACGAACACACAACTGTAAGAGAAGACTGCAGCCTCCACCGTTAAATACAACCTTCCCGTTAGTCACCAGAAATGTGCTCACAAAAGAGCACACCATGTTTGAAACCATTTAACATTACCAGATGCTGCTCTAAATGTTTCTCCATATAATGTGCTCAATCCCAGCTGATGCTGAAATGGGTCCGCTGTTGAAAAGGCACAATGTATTGTTCTAAATGTACCTAAACAAGTGCATTTCATTTCCTGCAAATGCTGGCCTGTCCAAAGAGAACTTTGATCAGTTTTCCACCCTTCTTCCCTTCCAAATACAATAAACGAAGAGAGAATAAAAGACGAACCGGAATGGCCTTGAAAGAAGGCTTACACAACAACACACAAAGACTGACGGACGTTTCCAGTAATAGCGCTGTGAAAAATTAAGAGGACGGGGACAGCCCCTACTAAACCCGCTTCAGTATTCAATTCACATGCTAAGGCATTCACATAAACAAGAAGAGCGAAAATAAAAACCGGACAAGCACAAAAGTAGATCCGAAACACAAAAAACGCCGCAGAGACGAGTGCTCATAAACTGAATTCGCACAGCCAGTTTGATTAAACAAGTACACAGCGCACCATGGTGCCCAGTGAAAAAACGCTGTTTAAAACGTGTATAAACCCTGCCCCACAGTTGGGCGCCTCTCTCCCCCTGTCTCAGAGCAGCTATCTGCTCAGCAGGGAGCGAAATTAAAATCATTGTAGGGACAGGCATTAACAGCCGCGCTCACTCTTTACGACACAGTGAGGGGGCTGCTTTTGGCTGATATTAAACAATTTCACTGGGGATGCAAAATAATCGCCTGCAATCTCAGGGTCATTCAGGGTAGCAGTAAAAACGATTCACCTCATTTATTCCAACGCTTTGCAGAGCTCGTCAGCCGAGCGCACGGAAAAAAAAAAAGAAGAGCAGCTCTTCCGAGATGGGAGCTTTGTGTGCAGTGTCAGGGAGACAGCAGATAGCTAAAAGGCTTCATTCCTGCTTACAATGCTGAAGATTAAGCCTTCCACACAGAAGGAAAGGCAAGGAACCACAATCCTGTGATTCTGGTGTGACGTGCTCATGTGTGCTTTTTGTCTGCGAGGTTAGCGATGGTGACGTTTCTCACAATGAGCAATGAGGCAGCTTTTTCGGGGTTCTTTTTATGGCAGGTTTATTCACTACCCCATGTTTCCCCCCATTTGAAAGCGAGGAGAGATGGTAAGCTGACTGCAGATGTCTTTCGACAAGCCCTTGCTTACAGAATAATAGGCGTCAGCATGGACAGGTCAAACCAACAAAACTAAGACCATGCTTGTTTGATTATGGGTTACACAGCGTTCGCAACATTCCTCCGCACCGAAGTCAAACAGCTGCAGGATTGTTCAAAAGTGAAAACATGTGAGCAATTGTTTTTTATTATTACAGCTAATAATATGATGAGCACGTCTACGAACAAATAAAAGAATGGAATTTTATCTAATTTAGTCAGAAATGTTGTCATGTGCTATCACTCTGAACACCACACATTAATACAGCTTACCTAATGTGAGCTTTTGTTGCTTCAATTGTTGCCCAATTGAAAGACACAATTTAATTTGGGTTTTTCCAGAAAGGTAACTTTTTTTTTTCTCAGCTGCTGCAGGAGGGCTGAGCGTTCAGTTGTATTTCATTATAGCAGTAGAACGAAATGCTAGACGGTATAGTCGGCATCGCACAAACCCAAGATAACGTCTGGCTGTCAAGGCTGCGCACGTCATGGGGAAATAATCGTGCTGTTCAGTTATGAGCGGGTTTTCAGAAGCAAGAGAGAAAGAAAAGCTTCACCTCCACGGTTACAGACCTGTCTCTCCCCCAGCCCTCTCACACACACACACACACTTCCGCACAGCTGCCCTCTCACCATGATGGCGTAAACAGGAAACAGGTGTGGAAGTGGGCGTCCTCTAGTGATAAATGGGATCATGTCAGTCATGGACGGAGGTTCAGGATGGAGCAAGAATAATTGCTCGAATGTCCAGACCAAACACATACTGCTCTCCCTGCCCATGGCTAGTTTTGAAAATGTAGGATGAACTGGGGAGGGAATTTCTAAACAGTAGAATTGCCTCACTACGCCACAATTACAATGAACTACATCTGCTTGGAATATATAATACTGACTCAGTTCATCAGATTAAGTGATCTAGCCACACAGTGAAGGATCTCATCCACCTTCACTCATCCTTACCTACAATTACACGGTGTTGAGAGTTGATATTCAATATGGTTATTTGACATTGGCGGAATGTATCACATCATACTTTGGAATCAAAACTAACAAAAAGAGAGCCCATACATACCAGAGATCTTGGCTGGCTCTGGTTTCTCCACTAACTGGTCGAGTACATGTTGGTCATCCAGGTTAACGGGGGACTCCACCTTCACAGGTTGGCTCCCGAACATAGAAAGAGTGGTGAAGGTGCTGATGAGCAGGATCCCCAGGCCAACCAATAGCACTAGCTACAGAAACACATACAAGACACATGGGTGAAAAACACAAGATTACACACACTTCAGAAACA